CAGAAACGACCTTCGACTTCCTTCAAATTGCACACAGAGACATAAAAATGGTATCCATAAATTAATCTGACTCTGGTAAGTAGAGGAAAAAAGGGCTTCATTGCCAAAATCTTGAACTATCCCTTTAATTTATTTGTAACCTTTATTTAACTAGGCAAGTCAGTTAAGAACAAATTCTTATTTACAATGACGGCCTACCCCGGCCAAACCCTTTGGGACTGGGTTGTGATACAGCCTGGAATCGAACCAGGGTCTGTAGTGACGCCTCTAGCACTGAGATGCAGTGCCTTAGACCGCTGCGCCACTCAGGGTTGACCCATCCTATAGCATGTGAGATATAGCAGTCAAGGCCTCTGTCATCTCTATGGGACCATGGGGTTGTGACCTTTACTAGCACTTCACTGTTTGTTTGCAAGTCTTGGCTGTCTGACATCAAATTGCAAGATAAAGAGTGAAACCATTGAGGCTGACAAAGTGCACTGAAAAGTACATGCACATTGAGCCCTCGCTTACGCCAGCCCACGTGCCATGAGGGCATTTAACACACACCAGAATGGCCCAAAGATATTTATAGTATGATGTTTTGGATCTTCCTGAAATTAAATCCACAGAAAGGACATTTTGGGGAAGGATGTTTGGCATACCTTTGAAATCTGTATCCAAAATGATTATTGAGAAATAACTAATAACATTTGGGAAATATGTGACATTTTGGCCTTACCCATGCCTTCTTAAAAACCCATAAAAGTCTTAGCCATAGTCTAAGCCAGGGGGTACTACTAAGCTGTATAGAATTGTTTTAAGGTCATACCAAGGATAATTTTGCTATTTGGGGGGGGGGGGGGGGGGGGCGCAAGTGTTGATCGAGGTGTGGAGGGATTATTTAAGAGAGGTCACTAGGCAACAGATGCACTGTGGACAAAGTCTGATTTGTTCTGCTGAGAAATAGGGTACACTAGGATAATAACTCTCACCATTGTCTGTTCAGTGTTTCTGTTCTAGCAAACAACGACTCTAAAAATAGGTTGTTGATTTTGAGGGGTCATTGAACCCTCTATGCTTGCTGAGAGTGCATGTTTGAAGAAATAATGCTTGATTTCAATAGTGAACACATACCCAAATAATTACTGCCATTGCTGAACTTTTTTGAGACTGTAATTTGACACACTGTCTTCTGCATTCATGGACAATTCCATTATAACCCAGTTTTCAAACATGCCTGTTTGGGGACGAGGCATATACAGTAGTATGTGATAGCCACCAGAGGGTAGCCTTGTCTAATTTAGCTACACCTCCATGTCTGCTGGAAACGCTGAACAAATGTCAATATTTTAACATCCTTGTTTGCTACACTGATGGGTTCAATAGTAATTTTAAAACTATTCCGTTCCATTTTGACGGGTTACCAAATTACTGACCAGAGTCTTTGGGAAAATAAAGGAATAATCGATCACCAATAAACTGATCAGCATTACGCAGACCAGCTGGCAACTGTCTTCACTGACATTTTCAATTGCTCCCTTCCCAGTCTGTAATCCCAACATGTTTCAAGCTGAACCACCATTGTCCCTGTTCACTCCAAGGTAACCTGCCTAAATGACTACCGCCCCGTAGCACTCACATCTGTAATTATGAAGCACTTTGAAAGGCTGGTCATGACACACATCAACACCATCATCCCAGACATCCTGGACCCACTCCAATTCACATACTGCCCCAACAGATCCACAGATGACACAACCTCAATTCCACTTCACACTGCCCTCTCCTACCTGGACAAAAGGGCAAATAACTATGTGAGAATGCTGTTCATAGACTACAGCTCAGCGTTCAACATCGTAGTCACCTCCAAGATCATCACCAAGCTCGGGACCCTTGGACTGAACACCTCCCTATGCAACTGGATCCTGGACTTCCTGACTGGCCGGCCCCAGGTGTTGAGGGTTTAGTCCCTCAGGGGTGCATGCTCAGTCCCCTCCTGGATTCCCTGTTCACCCAAGACTAAGTGGCCACTCACGACTCCAACACCATCATCAAGTTTGCTGATGACGGTGGTAGGCCTGATCACCGACGGCGATGAGACAGCCTACACAGAGGAGGTCAGAGACTTGGCAGTGTGGTGCCAGGACAACAGCCTCTCCCTCAACGTCAGTAAGACCAAGGAGCTGATTGTGGAATACAGGAGACAGAGGGGAGAGCACGCCCCCATCCACATCGACAGGGCTGTAGTGGAGCAGGAGAGGGGTTCAAGTTCTTTACATTTTTGTCATTTAGCAGACGCTCTTATCCAGAGCGACTTACAGTTTGTGCATTCATTTTAAGATAGCTAGGTGGGACAACCACATATCACAGGCATAGTAAGTACACTTTTCCTCAATAAAGGAAGCCTGAAAAGATTTGGCATGGGGAGCCCTCGGATCCTCAAAAAGTTCTACAGCTGCACCATCGAGAGCATCTTGACTAGCTGCATCACCGTTTGGTATGGCAAATGCACAGCCCTCGACCCAGGGACGGCCTGTTCAATAGGGCGATATGGGCGACGCACTGCCAAACGGGAAAAGGAAGGGATTTTTTTTCTAATCAATTATATCACGGCAACAGTAGTTATCAGTGTTGTAATCTGATCTGACTGCCACTAAATGTCAAATCAGGCTAAAGTCGTGCTTCAAATGGCCCCGCCCGTTTTTGGGCGATTTCAGTCAGGTTGAAAATCGCCCAGAAGTCTCTCATAGCCTGTCATGTAAAATCTATTTTTTTTCAAATTTCAAAGCTTTCAATACATTCTCTATGGGTGTCTGTGGGCTTGCACTTACGCGCTTTCGTCATACGTGACGTAACCATGAACGTAACTAAGCAAATAGCGGCTAGCAGCGTCTCTGTTGCGACCTGCAATGTGGCGTTATTTTATGTTTTTAATTTGTACACTTAGTGGCGTTATTTTATGTTTTTAATTTGTACACTTAGTTTACAAACATTCTGCCAACCATGGATTTCCAGTGGTGGGTTTTGGACTGATCTTGTTGATCGTGTACATACCCGCTACGAACGGACTAAATAATGAAAACGTTGCTGGCAGCGGAATCCAATACAGCTGGAAGACTTGGCTGGATGACAGAGTCCCGGACAGAGAAGTGGAGCCGGCCGGCTTCACCCTGGTCGGAGCGGACCTCGATCTGACAGTCACAGGGAAAATCGATCCTGGTAAGAGAGCGACTCTGTACCCCGAGCCCCGACATTGAACTGCTTTCTGTGTCACTGCGACCTTACTATCTGCCCCGTGAGTTCCCCCAATTGTTTGTTACCGTTGTGTACTGTTGATAATCACAAGTTTACTGGAGAACTGAGACCAAGTAGAGACTTTGGACAGGGTGGATATGGTATAATAAAGGCAGTTTATTCAGAGGTAAAGATATCTGGAATCGCGTGCACGGACTCGTTCGTCAAACTCTTAGGGAGCTATCTGAAGAGAGCCCCGAAAACATTGTGTGCTGACATTTTATACAATAAATGATGTAGGTTGAATCTAGTAGTTCTGATCTTCTGATTGGTCCTGATGAGTTGGGCGAGGTCCCCTCCACTGTTGCATTGGCTCTGAGTCGGGTTCTCTGTCTTCAAATGTTCAGCCTAAAGAGAGGGGATTTGTGTGTGTGTGTGTGTGTTTAACAGTGATGATGTGTGTGTGTGTGTGTGTGTTTAACAGTGATGATGTGTGTGTGTGTGTGTGTTATCAGTGATGATGTGTGTGTGTGTGTGTGTGTCCTCAGAGCAAGAACTCGTGAGTTGGAAGAACTGAGAGACCTATGGCGTGGGTGTTGTCCTTGGCCACCTGCTGACAAGGCTGACAAGATAGGACTCTTTTGTCCATTGTTATAGGATAGGAACAGCATTGATTGAAAACAAACGCCCAACACAAAATGGGTCATGCACAAGATTTTAGTCAGACCAAGCTATAACATTATATATTTACTACGACAGTACATTCAACCAAAAGCTAATATAACAAAGGCATCAGAGATTATTTATAATCTGTCACAGAAACTGGAATCCATCTCCCCACATCAGTCAATAAATGCTTCTGGTATTGACTTATATGCTGCCCCTGTCTTCATGTTGTTGCTGGACATATCTTTTTTAAAATGTGTGTAGGTCACCTAAATCATCAGAAAAATTGCCCCTCCTGAGAATTTTTTCAGGAGCCGCCACTGCCTCGACCGCAAAGCACTACAGAGGGTGGTGCAGGCGACCCAGTACATCACTGGGGCTGAGCTCCCTGCCATTCAGGACCTCTAGATCCGGCAGTTCAGAGTAAGGCCCGAAAAATTACCAAAGACTTCAGCCACCCAAGCCATAGACTGTTCAATCTTCTACCATCCGGCAAATGGTACCGGAGCATCGGCTCTCGGACCAACAGGCTCCAAGACAGCTTCTACCTCCAAGCAACGAGACTGCTAATTAGCCATAAGACTACTAAATAGTAAATTAAATGGTTGCCTGGTCTATCTGACTCTATGCTCACTTACAAGACTATATATACACACTGTATACGCCTACACACTCACTCACACACACTACACTGACACACAAAATCACATACATTTACACACACACACACACACTTTCACAATCATCATTGCTGCTGCTACTCTGTTCTTTATTCTTACTCTTATTAGTATCTATCTGATGCCTTGTCACTTTACCCTGCCTTCATCTACCACAATTACCTCATACTCCCGCGATGTATATTCATTCTTGTGTATTTTATTCCTCTTGTGTTACGATTTTTAGTTTCATTAATTAATTCTGCATTGTTGGGAAGGGCTCGTAAGCAAGCGTTTCACGGTAAAAGTCTACACCTGTTGTATTCTGCGCATGTGACAAATAAAACATTTTATTTTATTAGCATCTGGTTGGTTGGGTGGATATGAAGGGTTTGGAGGGATGGGGAGGGTTTGTTGGAAGGTAGTAGGGCTCTTTTATTTATTTATTTATTTTTAGGAAGAAGAAGATGATCATCTGTGATCAGCTCTCAATGCCTGTCGCAACAGGAAGTTGTTGGAATTCGTATCGGATCGGACAACAACAACAACATTACAACAACAACAGCAGAGTTCTCCGTTTACGTTCATCCGACAAAGTAATAACGATAACGACGTTTATATTATTACGATGTCGATATGTGCTTGCACGGGAACCTCGGTTTTCTCTGGCTAATGTTAATCTTGATTGCAAGTGTTATGTGAGTGTGTGTGGCTGCTGCTCTATTGTGCTAACTTGCTAGCTAGTAAGTTAACTAACGTTGGATAACTAACGCGTTAGCTTCCTTGGTTGGGGGCAATATTGTCGATGTCAGTCCGTAGCTAGCTAACCACAACAGCCAGTCGAACATGATAACACATTTTAAGACAGAGCTAGCTAATTAGCCAACGTTAGTCCTATTTATTAGCTAAGTAACGTTCGCTCACATAGCTAGGGCCCCGAGAATGTTAGCGTAGCTATCCAGTTAGGTGGAAGATTCCTTTGTTTTGAACTATTTGCTTTTCTGTGTGTGTTCCTTCAGGATTGTCGATGGATAACACCAGATATTGCAACGATAGCTTCAATAGCATACGAAGTAGCACAAGTGACGAGGACATGGTGGAGATAGCAGGGGCGACATTAGACTTCTCTAACACGGAGGATGTACCACCCTTGGACCGAGACTATGGTTCTGGTAAGACCAAGGCCCATGTGTCTGTCTCTGTTGTAGTGTTTACACACACACACACAATAAGTCATGGATTTGTTAATGTGTGTCTTGTTTTGATAGGTGTTTTGACTGATCAAATGTCTATTGTTAGTTTTGACTAAAAGGTAACACATGAAGCTGGGCCAGCCTACATTGCTGGGATTTAATATCAGTGAGACCAAAGTCCTCTTTGCATTTCTTCCTGACTTTGTTTTGATTTGGTTTAATTTGACACCAATTTCATTTGGAATATGCAGTTATTAGGCCTAAACCATTCTGACTTGATCACATCCCAAACCTCACACTCAGTGAGGTGCCACTTTGTTTTTCATCAATATTTTCCAGGAATGTTGTCTGTAACACATTGTTCCCTTTAAGTATGTGTCATTGATATGTAAGTAAAACCTTTGTTATTAGATAAACACTAAGGGGTAGTTTCCCAGACACAGATTAAGCCTAGTCTTGGACTAAAAAGCAAGCTCAATGGATCATCTCCATAAAAAATATATTTTTAGTCGAGGACTAGGTTTAGCCTAATCTGTGTCTGGGAAACTGCCCCTAAAGCAATGGCAGCTCTAGAATGTGTTTACCTCAGTCCTTTTGAATCTCTCTTCAATTCCTCACCTCTACTTCCTCCCTTCTCCTCCAGGGGATAACCCAGGTATGGAGGAGGTAAACGGGGTTCCTAAACTGATGGACCTGCTGGATGAGCCTGTGCCAGGGGTGGGCACCTATGAGGACTTTAACACCATAGACTGGGTGCGGGAGAAGTCCAAAGACCGCGACCGGCACAGAGAGGTGACTCACATCTATTTATTTCCTTTTAACTCTTAGTCTTAACCCACTTCCCAACCCAGAACAAAACACGTGTCTCAAACAGGCTTCAGATCAGTATCTATGTGTACTTGTCATCATTATTAGGTGTAGTAGCAACACAGTGTCATTGGAAAGTATTCAGACCCCTTCACTTTTTCCACAATTTGTTACATTACCAGCCTTATTCTAAAATGGATTAAAATGTTATTTTTTCCTCATCAATCTACACACAATACCCCATAATGACAAAGCAAAAACAGGTTTGTAGAAATTTTTGCAAATTTATTTAAAAAAACAGAAATATCACATTTACATAAGTATTCAGACCTTTACTCAGTACTTTGTTGAAGCACCTTTAGCAGCGATTACAGTCTCGAGTCTTCTTGGGTATGACGCTACAAGCTTGGCACACCTGTATTTGGGGAGTTTCTCCCATTCTTCTCTGCAGATCCTCTCAAGCTCTGTCAGGTTGGATGGGGAGCGTCGCTGCACAGCTATTTTCAGGTCTCTCCAGAGATGTTCGATCGGGTTCAAGTCCGGGCACTGGCTGGGCCACTCAAGGACATTCGGAGACTTGTCCCGAAGCCACCCTTGCGTTGTCTTGGCTGTGTGCTTAGGGTCATTCTGCTGTTGGAAGGCGAACCTTCACCCCAGTCTGAGGTCCTGAGCGCTCTGGAGCAGGTTTTCATCAAGGATCTCTCTGTACTTTGCTCCGTTCATCTTTCCCTCAATCCTGACTAGTCTCCCAGTCCCTGCCGCTAAAAAACATCCCCACTGCATGATGCTGCCACCACCATGCTTCACCGTAGGGATGGTGCCAGGTTTCCTCCAGACGTGACGCTTGAAATTCAGGCCAAAGAGTTCAATCTTGGTTTAATCAGAACAGAGAATCTTGTTTCTCATGGTCTGAAAGTCCTTTAGGTGCCTTTTGGCAAACTCCAAGCGGGCTGTCATGTGCCTTTTACTGAGGAGTGGCTTCCGTCTGGCCACTCTACCACAAAGGCCTGCTTGGTGGAGTCCTGCAGAGATGGTTGTCCTTCTGGAAGGTTCTCCCATCTCCACAAAGGAACTCTGGAGCTCTGTCAGAGTGACCATCAGGTTTTTGGTCACCTCCCTGACCAAGGCCCTTCTCCTGTGTTCTTGGGGACCTTCAATGCTGCAGACATTTTTTGGTGCCCTTACCCAGATCTGTGCCTCGTCACAATACTGTCTCGGACCTCTACGGACAATTCTTTCGACCTCATGGCTTGGTTTTTGCTCTGACATGCACTGTCAACTGTGGGACCTTATATTGACAGGTGTGTGCCTTTCCAAATCATGTCCAATCAATTGAATTTACCACAGTTGGACTCCAATCAAGTTGTAGAAACACCTCAAGGATGATCAATGGAAACAGGATGCACCTGAACTCAATTTTGAGTCTCATAGCAAAGGGTCTGAATACTTATGTAAATTACACCTTGTCGTTCTCAAAACGGTGACCCGATCCTGCAGGTTCATGCTCTACAACATTCGCAGAGTACGACCCTACCTTACACAGAAAGCGGCACAGGTCCTAATCCAGGCACTTGTCATCTCCCGTCTGGATTACTGCAACTCGCTGTTGGCTGGGCTCCCTGCCTGTGCCATTAAACCCCTACAACTTATCCAGAACGCCGCAGCCCGTCTGGTGTTCGACCTTCCCAAGTTCTCTCATGTCACCCCGCTCCTCCGCACACTCCACTGGCTTCCAGTTGAGGCTCGCATCTACTACAAGACCATGGTGCTTGCCTACAGAGCTGTGAGGGGAATGGCACCTCCTTACCTTCAGGCTCTGATCAGACCCTACACCCAAACGAGGGCACTACGTTCATCCACCTCTGGCCTGCTAGCCCCCCTACCTCTACAGAAGCACAGTTCCCGCTCAGCCCAGTCAAAGCTATTTGCTGCTCTGGCACCCCAATGGTGGAACAAGCTCCCCCACGACGCCAGGACAGCGGAGTCACTGACCACCTTCCGGAGACACTTGAAACCCTACCTCTTTTTAAGGAATACCTGGAATAGTATAAAGTAATCCTTCTACCCCCCCATAAAAATAAATTAAAAAAAGAAGAAAAAAAGTGGTTGTCCCACTGGCTATCATAAGTTGAATGCACCAATTTGTAAGTCGCTCTGGATAAGAGTGTCTGCTAAATGATGTAAATGTATTTCTGTTTTTAATTTTTATTACATTTGCAAAAAAAATCAAAACCTGTTTTTTCGCTTTGTCATTATGGGGTATTGTGTGTAGATTGATGAGGAACATTTATTTGATACATTTTAGAATAAGGCTGTTCCACAAAATGTGGAAAAAGTCCAGGGGTCTGAATACTTTCCGAATGCACTGTAAGTGTTACATGGCATTACTGTCTGAATCAAAAGTATCATAGTATTATAACAATAATATTTATGTCACCTGTCTGATGTGTAGATTACCAGTAAAAGCAAAGAGTCCACATGGGCACTGGTGAACAGTGTCTGTGATGCTTTCTCTGGATGGCTGCTCATGCTACTGATTGGACTCATGTCAGGTCAGTCTAAATGGATACAGATTTATGATACAGAAATGCTTTTTCATTTGATTCCCTCTACTAAGACCCACACGGCAACGCACCTGGAAGCCATTGATTGTGTTAGTAATTTACCTTGTGGTCTATTCCAGGTGCATTGGCAGGTGGGATCGACATATCAGCCCACTGGATGACAGACCTGAAGGAAGGGGTTTGTCTGAACGGGTTCTGGTTCAACCATGAACACTGCTGTTGGACCTCCAACGAGACCACCTTCCAAGAGAGGGACAAGTGTCCACAGTGGAAAAGCTGGGCTGAGCTCATCATCGGCAGAACAGAGGCGTGCTAAAATAGTATTACTTGACCCATTGTGTTTGTTGTATGTGATTATTTTGGTCCCAGTCTGATTGTGAAATGTCTGTCTGCAGGGTCCCTTTGCGTACATTATGAACTATCTAATGTATGTGTGCTGGGCTCTACTATTCTCCTTCCTGGCTGTGACACTGGTCAGGGCCTTCGCCCCCTATGCCTGTGGCTCTGGAATCCCAGAGGTAAGACTACATTATTCCTTTACCCTTATTTGATATGTCTTCTTTTGAATGAGGACAAAGTATGTGGTTTATTTTCCCATGCTATTTATTTTCTCTCCCAGATCAAAACCATATTGAGTGGTTTCATCATCCGAGGGTACCTGGGGAAGTGGACCCTAGTGATTAAGACCATCACCCTGGTCCTGGCTGTGTCGTCAGGGCTCAGCCTGGGGAAGGAGGGACCCCTAGTCCACGTGGCCTGCTGCTGTGGCAACATCCTCTGCCACCTCTTCACCAAGTACCGAAAGAATGAGGCCAAGCGCAGAGAGGTGAGGAACAGGGCCTAAAGTGTTGTTTTTGGTCCACCAGCCACTGTGGCAGGTAGATGAACAAATATAATAGCCACTCAGATTTTTTTACCAGACAACTTTTTATTTTAACGCCATAATTACCTAAAAAAACAAGATGGCCATGCTTACTGTTTCTAAAACAAGAAATGTATTAGTAAGAAGTATTGTGATATATATTGTGTTGTGATATATATTGTGATCTATTTCTCAATTTCATGTCATTTTTTTTGTGACCCGAGTCTTTTAACCAAAATATCAGATGAAACTAAATGTTCAGCTGCCCCTTCAAGGGTGGGAGGTTACCGTGGTAACAGGACCACTGAGTCGTGTGTCTGTGTTATTTTGGATCCTACTAGTAGTAGACAGCATATCTTCGCTATCAGTTGAAGCAGCAGACTCAAACTAACATTGAAAAACAACCGACCTTGTGAACAAAACAATGTAAATAGCCAAGAAACAGGAGGACAAAGTCTCACTTTATAAACTTTTGAGTAAATTAGACCAGCTTTTATGCCTGTTAGCAACGCCTCCAAAAATGAATATATCAGCACACTGCACAAAGCTCCCCTGCCAGGCAGTGTCGCTGTGCGTGGTGGGATATAGATTCGTATTTCTTTGTGAGATTAGCAGCTATAAAACTAAACGGCAGAAATACTTTGAAAACAGCTACTGCAGCATTTTTCATACTTTACGTTTGACCATTTTTATTTGCGAATGTAACACTCGCATTTTAGAGCCCTGCAAATTGACCACCCGCCAACGTGGCTGGTGAAATAGACGTTCTTACCCCTAAAATCTACCTGCATGTGGCGGGTGGCAGGTGTTAATTTTATACCCTGGTGAGGAACACTGCACTGGGCTATTCACAAACATCTGAACCCTTTTTTAAATGGATGTATACAATACTGGTTAACCTTTTAAGTATGTTTCAAAGAACTGGCACAAATTGCTAAACATTGGACCACTGATGTTGTTTTGCATTGACTCTGAAATCAAGCTGTATCAAAAGAATGAGAGCGTCAAGTCCGATTCAGCGCAGGAAAACCCCATTAAACTATAAATAGCCTGTAGCCGGTCTCATGGTTTTATGATTTCAACAAACACATACCCCAAGGCGATGTTTTTGCTCCTCTGCTACAGTGAGATACTATTAATGGAAGTACAATGCCACAAACATGTAGTGACTCTGTCTTCCTTCTGTAAACGTTGTGCCTGAGATTTATTTTCCAACAAAGAGATATTTTGCATTGAGTCATGAATCAGCAAGCATATTATTATTTGTTATTTAGCCCTGTTGCTGAGCTGTGTTGTAAAGCATGAATGGACTGACACATTGATCACCTTCTTCTTCCTTCCTCTGCTTGGTGGTTTGTGTGTCAGGTTCTGTCTGCTGCTGCTGCCGTTGGTGTGTCTGTGGCTTTTGGTGCCCCCATAGGAGGAGTGCTCTTCAGTCTGGAGGAGGTAACAAGTGACTCAGCTGTCTTCTTATGCAAATCTATGGGCTCTATGACTGTCAAGTTGAAACACTCTTAAAGTTAACGTTTGAAAGTAATAAAGTTGACAAAGTTAAACATTTGACTAAGAGCACTGTGTAACTGTCCGTCTCCTCATGGTGCTGTCAGGTGAGCTACTACTTCCCTCTGAAGACGCTGTGGCGGTCGTTCTTCGCAGCCCTGGTGGCAGCCTTCACCCTCCGCTCCATCAACCCATTTGGAAACAGCCGCCTGGTGCTGTTCTATGTGGAGTTCCACACCCCCTGGCACCTCCTGGAGCTCATACCATTCATCCTTCTGGGCATCTTCGGGGGCATCTGGGGCGCCTTCTTCATCCGCGCCAACATCGCGTGGTGCCGGAGGCGTAAGACCACGTGGCTGGGCCACTACCCGGTCCTGGAGGTGCTTGTTGTCACAGCGCTGACGGCGGTGGTGGCTTTCCCTAACAGCTACACCCGCACCAGCACCAGTGAGCTCATCTCTGAGCTCTTCAACGACTGTGGCCTGCTGGACTCCTCCAAGCTGTGTAACTATGACAACGCCAACGTCACCAAGAGCAGCAACGAGCTACCGGACCGCCCGGCTGGAGATGACGTTTACACGGCCATGTGGCAGCTGTCCCTGGCCCTGGTCTTTAAGATGCTCATCACCGTGGTTACCTTCGGCATGAAGGTACTGGAGAACCTCCAGCATATCTATATGGTACATCTGTCCAGAGATTTCACTGGTGCTCTTCCCTGTGATTTGAGTGTTAATATAACGGTGTCGTTCCTCCAGGTTCCCTCTGGTCTTTTCATTCCCAGTATGGCGGTGGGGGCGATCGCAGGCAGGCTGCTGGGGATAGGCATGGAGCAGCTAGCCTACTACCACCATGACTGGGCGGTCTTCAGGGGCTGGTGCTCCCCTGGTGCTGACTGCATCACCCCAGGCCTCTATGCCATGGTGGGGGCTGCTGCCTGCTTAGGTAAGGCCTGCACGGGTACTGGATGTTGGCACCTTGCATGTTTAAGAGATTTTCCTTCACTTGTTTTTGTCTTTACTCTAAACTCCCTTTTCCTGGTTAAATGTTGTCTTGAGGGTATGCCTCATGTTTTGTGCCTCCACCCCTCTCTCTGTGCCACCCACTCCCTCCCCACTGGCTTTGTGCCCACAGGTGGGGTGACCCGTATGACCGTGTCCCTGGTGGTCATCATGTTCGAGCTGACCGGAGGGCTGGAGTACATCGTGCCCCTGATGGCCGCAGCCATGACCAGTAAGTGGGTGGCAGACGCCATCGGGCGTGAGGGGATCTACGAAGCTCACATCCGTCTCAACGGATACCCCTTCCTGGAGGCCAAGGAGGAGTTCAGCCATAAGACCCTGGCCATGGACGTGATGCGGCCGCGTCGCAGTGACCCGCCGCTCTCCGTACTGACCCAGGACGGCATGACGGTAGAGGACGTGGAGACCATGATCACTGACACCACCTACAGCGGCTTCCCTGTGGTGGTCTCCCATGAGTCCCAGCGCCTAGTGGGCTTCGTGCTGCGCAGGGACCTCACCATCTCCATAGGTAGGGATGACCGATCATCATTATCATGTGTTGAGGTGCTGGCTTTTGAGCCACATGCTCTTTCACCTTTGTCAAAACAATGTAATGTATTCTTAATAATAATACATGATATTTATATAGCGCTTTTCAAGGACCCAAAGTCGTTTCTTATTTGGTCTTATCCCACTGCCACCCCTCAGTAACCCCTCCCTCTCCTCTCAGATAATGCCAGTTTCTCTGCCACCCCTCAGTAACCTCTCCTCTCAGATAATTCCAGTCTCTCTGCCACCCCTCTGTAAACCCTCCCTCTCTCCTCTCAGATAATGCCAGACAGCGTCAGGATGGGATAGTGAGCACATCGAGGGTCTTCTTTACAGAGTACACGCCCCCTCAGCCCCCCAACAGCCCCCCTCCTCTGAAGCTCAGAGGCATCATGGACCTTAGTCCCTTCACTGTCACAGACCACACCGCCATGGACATTGTGGTGGACATCTTCAGGAAGCTGGGACTGCGCCAGTGCCTCATCACACACAATGGGTAAGACACCTGCTACTGAGAACTAGCTATGTAATTAGGGACCTCTACTTACATCTATAGTGGACTGATTTCATAAGTAGAACATAGCAGCCCCCCAAGACAAACAAAAAAATTACTGTAAATTGATAACAGGTTTTATAAAAATATGTGGATTGGCTTATACATTTTTTTTTAATCCTTCCTAAAGTTGTGTTGTATTATGGTAAGAAGTCCAGACCTCTTTGACATTTTGTCCCTCTCTTTTTTTACAGCCGCTTGCTGGGTATTATCACAAAGAAGGACATTCTGAAGCACGTGGCTCAGATCGCCAACCGGGACCCAGACTCTATCCTCTTCAACTGATGCTATAGTACCAGCTGTAGCACTTTAGGCCAGACATCACTGTGGAACCACAGCTTTTACCCAGGCCTGTCTCCATTGCACTTTCATGTCTAGTGGATTCCTCCTTGCAGTGACAGCTGGCCACTCCATTAGAACTGGAGAGGTAGAGGATTCGTTGTTCTTCAACAGCAAGCTGGCTTTCCAGGATTGGCCCAAATGATGAGTTGGATTTTGAAAAACTGTATGACTTGTTAAATGAGCGTCAGTAACTGGGAGAATATTTTTTTCTTGGCTCTATTGGCAGGAGTGGTCTTCCTCTTCAGTTGACAGATGAGAGTAGGCATGCTGGGTGTGGCATGTGTCTCTGGAGAGACCAAGGATTGTAAATCAGCAGAGACGAGTCTGAGATTTAAACCACACCACTGCCAAGACATACTCCACCTTCCCTCCTCCACAAAGACATCTTAACCCATACAATCACTAAGCGAGGAGTGAAAATGATCAGCCTCCACCTATCAAAGTATCATGAAGAAATTCTCAGCTGAAATTGTGAAGTCTGCCTGAAATATTTGTCATGAATGAGCACTTGCATATGGCTGTCAAGACTAAATGTATTTTATATGGCATTATAGCTACACAGTTTAGCTATAGAGAAAAGTGTTTCTCTCCTTGGTAATGTCATATTCCTCATTGCGTTTTTGTCATGTAATTGGTTGTGGTTTTAACACAGACCTGGAGATGATGTCCTCTTCGTACAGGGACACTGTAAAACAGCATGGATTTCTTATTCATTATTCACCAGGATAAAATAAGCTGCATAAAATAACCCTCCTCTGAAACCAGCATGCTGTGGTTCATTTTGACCACAGGGAGGTACTAATGTGCACTACCTAGATGTGGTTTACGGTCACATTACTACATTTACATTTACATTTTAGTCATTTAGCAGACGCTCTTATCCAGAGCGACTTACAGTTAGTGAATACATCTTTTTTTTAATTATTTTTTTTATTTTTATACTGGCCCCCCGTGGGAATCAAACCCACAACCCTGGCATTGCAAACACCATGCTCTATCAACTGAGCTACATCCCTGCCGGCCATTCCCTCCCCTACCCTGGACGACGCTGGGCCAATTGTGCGCCGCCCATGAGTCTCCCGGTCGCTACATTTTAGTACCAGGTTATCAGCAACAAACACTCAACAGTGGAAAATAATGAAATATGAATGTACCTTTTCAGTTAATGTTACGTATTGTATAAGTTTATGGGTCACTTTATCCGGCACACTACAGAATCCTCAGTAGTGTGCCGGGTAGTCGGAGTATGAGGTCGTAGAGAAGAGTAGTGTTGGATGAGGTGAGGGATGATCGAGCGAGAGGTCTCCAGTGTGTCAAATCTCTTTTCGTCCTCCAGCTCTTACCTCTCCTCTCGCAATGTCCATGGATCTGCATGCCCTTCCTACCTGCTGGCTAAGGCCAAGGCAGGGGCAGGCGATCTGGAGACGGGACTGGCCTGTCAACAGTCTAGTAAAGAACTCTGGATCTCTTCTCCCTTTTACCTCATGCTGTCTCACGAGACCCTCATGTCTTACCCTCCCTACAACATCAAAGTCCACACTAAGAATGATTAATTGAAACGTAGCATACTGTCTCTTACACATTAACTAAGCTGAGGGACCTCAAATCTCACTTTTACCTAGAGCAGATACCCTGGGAGGTTGATGGTGGACGTTCTTAAACTAGATTAATGTATTCCTGTACCTTTTAAGGACAAGTGTGACTTCAACCAAGTCTGACCCTTTTTGTATTGTATACCGTAGTTCATTACATCAGTAAAATACTTTGGGGTCTCATAGAGCTAAACACATTATCACATAAAAGCACTCCATTTAAAAATACTTATCAGTTGTTTTTGGAGATGCAGCTACAGTAATCATATGTAACATCATCAAACCATATGTCTATGTTATTTGTATTTGTATTTATGCTAACTGCAATGGGTTTGTATCACTACCATCTTATGTAAACGTGCAACTGAGATTCATTTCATATTTGCTATGAATTAAAACAACGTTAACCTTCACGTGAGAAAATGTGTGCTCATTGTGCCCAGTTACTCACCAATAAGTACTATACACACAAGTTTGGAGTCATTCTCATTCCAACATCATGAACCCATTGAATCCCTCCCTGAAGATCTAACCATTATGACTCACGGCTGAGGGATGTGGTCTGTGTGTGAATGGTCTGGGTGGGTGGCCCATCATGTCTTTCATGAGAAAGTGACAGGAAGATGTCTAGACAGTCAATGTTTATAGTTTCAAACAATAGTCAAATACACAGTCAAAGAGTCACTCTTTTAGACATTGCAAACATTTGTACGTCAAACCCAAACAATTAAACCAATAACACATTGCACATCGTCCATTAGGATGTGGCCCTGAACAGTGCTTAACAGGAAGTTCAAACTTGGCTCTGACAATACTTAATATCCCTTACATACTTGGTATGTTTTTTTTTCCAGGTATGTTGCCTGTAAAAATAAAACAGGCAATGTTTTTTATATCCCAATTCAAACAGTCTAATTTTTACCACATTCTTGCTGAGATAAGCCTTTTATATCGCCTGGGCACATGCCGGCAAGTTTAGGAGTGGGAGTAGATGTGGGCCAATGTGGGTGGACATCTAAAGTATTTTAATAAATCCATTGAATATAGGCTACACCATCACAAATAAATCCATTATTAATTCATTTTTAGCCAGGTCCTAAGAAACATAAGACTAATTAAATGTATTTTCAAAATAATAGAATGCCATATTTTGAGTTTAATTATGTGACTGGTCTGTGCAGTCTATAGACCACATGGCTGTGCCATGCACATGAAATCAATAGTAATTTTGTTCATTACATTTTAGTCATTTAGCAGATGCTCTTATCCAGAGCAACTTACAGTTAGTGCATACATTATTTTTTATACCCCCCGTGGGAATCGAACCCACAACCCTGGCGCTGCAAACGCCATGCTCTACCAACTGAGCTACATCCCTGCCAGCCATTCCCTTCCCTACCCTGGACGAATTGTGCACCACCCCATGGGTCTCCCGGTCACGGCCGGCTACGACAGAGCCTGGATTCGAACCAGGATCTCTAGTGGCACAGCTAGCACTGCAATGCAGTGCCTTAGACCACTGCGCCACTCGGGAGGCCAGTGCCAAGACACACTTAGTCTACCCTGATCACAGTCAACACACATATATTTTATAGTAGGCTAAGAATATAATGAAATATAACAGAATAAAATACAAATAATATTTTTCCCACACAACGTGCGAACCGCTGTCATATTAAAAAAGTGATATTTCTTGCCCAAGGCAAGACAATGCTTTTTTTATCCACGTTTCATCTCTTTCTGACCCTCACTCCGCTTTGTTAGGGAGCAGACGTAGGGTCTTACATTGAGAGTATCTTCATCATGATATCGATAGAAAATAATAGCAATCCAAAGTTTCAAAAGAGTCTTGTGTTCATGTTTCACAACTTCCGCAGGCTTTTGGAGTTGCCTATATGCAATCGAGTAAAATTAGGCTCCATTATTGCATGCTAAATGTTTCTGATCGATGATAGATGAACACTTGATTTAGGCTCCATTATTGCATGCTAAATGTTGATCAGTGTAGTTGACATTGATTAGGCTCCTTATTGCATGCTAAAGTTTCGATCAGTGATAGAAACATTTGATTAGGCTCCATTTTAAGATCATGCTAAATGTTTCTGATCATGATCGATGACACTTATTTAGGTCCATTTGCTGCTAATGTTCTGATCAGTAGATGAAATGATTTAGGCTCCATTATTGCATGCTAAATGTTTCTGATCAGTGATAGATGAACACTTGATTTAGGCTCCATTATTGCATGCTAAATGTTTCTGATCAGTGATAGATGAACACTTGATTTAGGCTCCATATGATTTAGTTCTATCAGAAGTAGAAATCGAATGTAGCTACCACCTCTACTTATTTGCCCAGCCAGAGAATTAACCAAATATACAGATGGAGATTCAGTGAAACAAAATCACATTGATTGATTAAGACAAGTCACAGGCTTTTTGGTTGGGAGTAGGCCTAGACTGCTAAGCGACTGCAAGTGAAAAGCAAAATAATCCACTTGTTAATTAAACTACGTACAGTAACATGCTGGCAAAATGTTCTGGTCAGTGTTAATAAATGAACCTAGACAAGATGATCATCAGCAGCACTCACCTCCACTTAGCTAACAACAGTCTAATTGTAGAGGCTTTGTCGCCAACGTGGTCTCAGAGCATTTCATATTATTCTGTATGTATTTTTCTGTATTTAGTATGATATGTTATGTTTCGTATGGTGTGTTAATTTGTGGTGTCCATCATCCATTTCGTATGATATGTTACGAATTCCAATTTGTTGTGGCTAACGTTAGCTAGGTGGCTTACGCTAACGTTAGCTAGTTGGCTAACATTAGCTCTAGGGGTTAGGGTTATAGGGTTAAGGTTAGGGTTAGGGGAAGGGTTAGCTAAACGGGTTAAGGTTAGGGTTAGGGGAAGGGTTAGCTAAACGGGTTAAGGTTAGGGTTAGGGGAAGGGTTAGCTAACATGCTAAGTAGTTGCAAAGTTGCTAAAATGCTAAAGTTGTCCGTGATGAGATTCAAACACGCAACCTTTGGGTTGCAGATGTTTGCGTTACACTTATTATATTATTATTATAGTATTATTAGCTAGTTCTCTACAGTAGTACTAAGTTACTGTCCGGTGCTGAATCTCTGTTCCACTGGGCACACACTGGTTGAATCAACATTGTTTCCACGTCATTTCAATGAAATGACGTTGAACCAACGTGGAACAGACGTTAAATTGATGTCTATGCCCAGTGGAGTATGACTGAAGACTAGTACTGGTATCTGGTTAACTGCAGTAATCAGTAATACCTCCACCCACAGTAAAGAACAACCAAAAGTTGTTGCTGAAAAAACGACATTTACTGCAGTTCATTGCTAAATGGAATAAATAGCAGAATTCTCAGTATGATGAAGGAATCCCAAGAGGGCCATTACCAAAATCCCTTCGAGCCTTACCGACGCACATTGTCTTATGCATTTCCACTTTCCCTCGCAGTGCTGGAGATTCTTATTTGTGATTGTGCTACAGTACCAAAGCGGGCTACCAATTAGTCCACACCACTCTATTCTAATATATCGTTTTAATGTAGCCATCTGTGAGCCAGTTTTATTAATGACCTGTGCACCAGTCTGTGGCTGGCTGTGTCAGAACCATGGTGATTTGGAGTCTATGTCCATAGACTTTTAGTAAGATTTGTAGTCGCGGTCAAAAGTTTTGAGAATGACACAAATACTAATTTTCACAAATTCTGCTGCCTCAGTTTTGATGATGGCAATTTGCATATACTCCAGAATGTCATGAAGAGTGATCAGATGAATTGCAATTAATTGCAAAGTCCCTCTTTGCCATGAAAATGAACTTAATCCCCAAAAAACATTTCCACTGCATTTCAGCCCTGCCACAAAAGGACCAGCTGCCATCATGTCAGTGATTCTGTCGTTAACACAGGTGAGAGTGTTGACGAGGACAAGGCTGGAGATCACTCTGTCATGCTGATTGAGTTAGAATAACAGACTGGAAGCTTTAAAAGGAAGGTGGTGCTTGAAATCATTGTTCTTCCTCTGTTAACCATGGTTACCTGCAAAGAAACACATGCCGTCATCATTGCTTTGCACAAAAAGGGCTTCACAGGCAAGGATATTGCTGCTAGTAAGATTGCACCTAAATCAACAATTTATCGGATTATCAAGAACTTCAAGGAGAGAGGTTCAATTGTTGTGAAGAAGGCATCAGGGCGCCCAAGAAAGTCCAGCAAGCGCCAGGACCGTCTCCTAAAGTTGATTCAGCTGTGGGATCGGGCACCACCAGTGCAGAGCTTGCTCAGGAATGGCAGCAGGCAGGTGTGAGTGCATCTGCACCCACAGTGAGGCGAAGACATTTGGAGGATGGCCTGGTGTCAAGAAGGGCAGCAAAGAAGCCACTTCTCTCCAGGAAAAACATCAGGCACAGACTGATATTCTGCAAAAGGTACAGGGATTGGACTGCTGAGGACTGGGGTAAAGTCATATTCCCTGATGAATCCCCTTTCCGATTGTTTGGGGCTTCCGGAAAACACCTTGCCCGGAGAAGACAAGGTGAGCGCTACCATCAGTCCTGTGTCATGCCAACAGTAAAGCATCCTGAGACCATGTGTGGGGTTGCTTCTCAGCCAAGGGAGTGGGCTCACTCACAATTTTGCCTAAGAACACAGCCATGAATAAAGAATGGTACCAACACATCCTCCGAGAGCAACTTCTCCCAACCATCCAATAACAGTTTGGTGACAACCAATGCCTTTTCCAGCATGATGGAGCACCTAGCTATAAGGCAAAAGTGATAACTAAGTGGCTCGGGGAACAAAACATCGACATTTTGGGTTCATGGCCAGGAAACTCCCCAGACCTTAATCCCATTGAGAATTTGTGGTCGATCCTCAAGAGGCGGGTGGACAAACAAAAACCCACAAATTCTGACAAACTCCAAGCATTGATTATGCAAGAATGGGCTGCCATCAGTCAGGATGTGGCCCAGAAGTTAATTGACAGCATGCCAGGGCAGATTGCAGAGGTCTTGAAAAAGAAGGGTCAACACTGCAAATATTGACTCTTTGCATAAACTTAATGTAATTGTCAATAAAAGCCTTTGACACTTATGGAATGCTTGTAATTATACTTCAGTATAACATAGTAACATCTGACAAAAATATCTCATAACACTGAAGCAGCGAACTTCGTGAAGACCAATACTTGTGTCATTCCCAAAACTTTTGACCACGACTGTACAGTACATGTTTAGTATTCCCTTGTGTGAGAGAGCTTTTTCCCTCCTTAACCTCCATGTTCATGGGTCAAACCGGAACGCCCCAAAATAGCTGGATGAGTCCTCTGCATGCACGGCTGTAGGCGACGACACAGAAACAAAGATCTCATCCCCGGCCCTCAGCTCAAACAGGCCTCCCTGGTAGACAGAGTGGAGGGCATACTCAGTGTCAGGCGCCCAGCACTTGGTGCCCACCCCCTTCAGCAACTGAAGGGGCCTGGCGTATGACGTCTTCTTGTAAACACACTGGACCAGCTGGTAGCTGGAGGTGCCCCCATGGTGGTTACCCCCCTCGTGGGTGAGGGAGGGGTAGCGGAAGTACACCTGGGCATACAGGTAATAGCGTCCGGACCGGGGGATGCGGAGGCGCCCGTGAGACAGGGTCATGTTGTGGAGATGGGAGCCGAAACTCTGGTTACCCCAGGACCGGACTGGGTGGCGGCAGGACTGATGCAGGTCTTTCTGAGGTGCCAGGGATATAGGGCCTATAAGGAGGTCAAAGGAAGATATGTCAATACAGACAGTCCATTCAAAGCATTATTACTGTAGACTCAAAGATGAGTCGGCCTATAGCTAACTGGATTCCTTTAACAAGGATCTCTTTAACTTTGGTGAAATCCGTGCAGCAGGAAAACAGCAGTAAGGTGGATTGGACGGGAGAAAGAGGAAGAGAAAAAATTCAGTCAAGAAACATAAGTATCAGCTATTCTGACGTATTTGTTCATGAGGACAACATTACTGCGTTCTTGGATACATGATCAGAGAGATTGCTGGTGATCTGAATTTGAAAACAGCGCCCTGTCTGTGAAGTCTGAAGTTTATGTGAGATCATGACACAGTTTCAGTGAATTGGTTTCGGTGATGTGTTGAGATGAGTGATGCCACACCTAAGCCTTTATTTGCTCAGATGGTCTTTGCAGATGTTCAGGGCCGGTTCCCGGATGCATGGCAAAATGTGCAGAATTGCAGAAAACTTACTTTAAAACTGCAACATTTTCTCTATGCTCCATGGCAAAATGTGTAGAATTGCAGGAAATTAACTAAAACTTAAATATTTCTCTACACCGTCAAGAGGGGGGCCACCAAAATGTTTGCCGTGAGTTGCGGGGCCCCCCAATCAAATCTTGCTTAGGGCCCCCAAAAGGCTAGAGCTGGCCCTGCAGATGTTTGATATTAGTACAGTGTTTTTAATGCTATACTGTTGAAATTGACTGACATTCTGCAATTTTATCCCAGCATAAAAACATTAGATTACATTAGATTAAAATAAATCAAAAATATTCTGACAAAAGCGAATGTCCCACCAAATGAACAAGCAAGCACAAACATACTAGTCTCACATACCCTGTAAGCCACTGTCTCGGAGTGTGAGATGAGCAGAGGGCTTCTGATGCCCTACAGCACTGACTGGCTTGGTTCTTGGCTGGGCGCTGGGTTCTGAAAAGGAGCATAGCAGTGAGAGAACGGTAGCACCAGGAGTGGATATTGGATACAGTTGAAGTCGGAGGTTTACATACACCTTAGCCAAATACATTTAAACTCCGCTTTTCACAATTCCTGACATTTAATCCAAGTAGAAATTCCCTGTCTTATGTCAGTTAGGATCACCACTTTATTTTAAGAATGTGAAATGTCTGAATAATAGTAGAGAGAATGATTTTTTCAGCTTTTATTTCTTTCATCACATTCCCAGTGGGTCAGAAGTTTACATACACTCAATTAGTATTTTGTAGCTTCCCACAATAAGTTGGGTGAATTTTGGCCCATTCCTCCTGACAGAGCTGGTGTAACTGAGTCAGGTTTGTAGGCCTCCTTGCTCGGACATGCCTTTTCAGTTCTGCCCACACATTTTCTATAGGATTGAGGTCAGGGCTTTGTGATGGCCACACCAATACCTTCACTTTGTTGTTCTTAAGCCATTTTGCCACAACTTTGGAAGTATTCTTGGGGTCATTGTCCATTTAGAAGACCCATTTGCGACCAAGCTTTAACTTCCTGACTGATGTCTTGAGATGTTGCTTCAATATATCCACATAATTTTCCTTCCTCATGATTCCATCTATTTTGTGAAGTGCACCAGTCCCTCCTGCAGCAAAGCACCCCCACATCATGATGCTGCCACCCCCGTGCTTCATGGTTGGGATGGTGTTCTTTGGCTTGCAAGCAGTCCCCTTTTTCCTCCAAACATAACGATGGTCATTATGGCCAAACAGTTATATTTTTGTTTCATCAGACCAGAGGACATTTCTCCAAAAAGTACGATCTTTGTCCCCATGTGCAGTTGTAAACCGTAGTCTGGCTTTTTTATGGCGGTTTTGGAGCAGTGGCTTCTTCCTTGCTGAGCGGCCTTTCAGGTTATGTCGATATAGGACTAGTTTTACTGTGGATATAGATACTTTTGTACCTGTTTCCTCCAGCATCTTCACATGGTCCTTTGCTGTTGTTCTGGGATTGATTTGCACTTTTCACACCAAAGTACATTAATCTCTAGGAGACAGAACGCGTCTCCTTCCTGAGCGGTATGACGGCTGCGTCCCATGGTGTTTATACTTGCATATTATTGTTTGTACAGATGAATGTGGTACCTTCAGGCGTTTGGAAATTGCTCCCAAGGATGAACCAGACTTGTGGAGGTCTACAATTTCTTTTCTGAGGTCTTGGCTGATTTCTTTTGATTTTCCCATAATGTCAAGCAAAGAGGCACTGAGTTTGAAGGTAGGCCTTGAAATACATCCACAGGTACACCTCCAATTGACTCAAATGATGTCAATTAGCCTATCAGAAGCTTCTAAAGCCATGACATCATTTTCTGGAATTTTCCAAGCTGTTTAAAGGCACAGTCAACTTAGTGTATGTAAACTTCTGACCCACTTGAATTGTGATACAGTGAATTATAAGTGAAATAATCTGTCTGTAAACAATTGTTGGAAGAAATACTTGTGTCATGCACATAGTAGATGTCCTAACCGACTTGCTGAAACTATAGTTTGTTAACGAGAAATTTGTGAAGTGGTTGAAAAATGAGTTTTAATGACTCCAACCTAAGTGTATGTAAACTTCTGACTTCAACTGTACATAAGATATGCTACGATGATGATGATTGATGGATGGATGGATGATTACCTGGAACGGCGTGTTTTGAAATAATACTTTCTGTCACCTGAAAGACAAAACCCCTTTTTAAGATGTGGCATAGACCTCAATAGTGAACCCTCAGCACAGAGTATAGTACAGCCTATCTATGACATGCAGTGCAGCATTTCTGTTGAGCAATCCGATTCTTTGTCATTCCAATTTCATGCTGAACACTTTTGACAAAGTCGAGAGGGTTACACGTTTTATTGGGACCTGGACACATCCCAGTAAATTATCTCACTCCCTAGATTTCACGGAAAAACACATGGAGGAGACAGACCAGATGTGCGACTGACTTGTTATGCCTCGACTAGTTTTTCAACTGAAATAATGAAAAACAGCTGTGCTCTTTGAAGCTGAATCCCCATGCACTCTCAACAACTACTCCCACCCACCCCTTGATCATGATCTATGACAGAAAGAGACCATGAAGGATGATTCTTACAGCTTTACCTATTTAGCACTGCAAGGTTTGACTGAATCAGACACTGCCAAGGTTCTACCCTTAAGGAAAAGCCACATAATTTAACATGTTTTGAACATGTACATTTTTATTTCACGTGAAATCATGTGAAACCATGTGTTTTTGGAACATTTCACATGTGATGATATTTCACATGCAGTTTCATATGGATTTTCATATGACCACATAACCTTTCCCATCTCTCACTGCAGCTACTAATGCACATATGTGCCCCTGGCCCTTGTCAAGTGTAGTTTCATGTTGTCACATGTAGTTTCATGTTGTCACATGTGTAGTTTCATGTTGTCACATGTGTAGTTTCATGTTGTCACATGTGTAGTTTCATGTTGTCACATGTAGTTTCATGTTGTCACATGTGTAGTTTCATGTTGTCACATCTGTAGTTTCATGTTGTCACATCTGTGGAGAGGAGGCGAGGTGAGTAGTCATGCTGTACTTCGCTCCGCAGGTAATATGACACATTACATTACAATGGAACGATTTGATTAGTGTAATGTTAGCTAGCTACATGGTTGTATTTGTATCAAAGATAAAGGTGTAGTATAGAGAAACTATCGAGGTTAGCTAGCCAGCTACATTCGTTCGCAGCGACGCCGTTTTTCAAACAAAGTCAACACCGCAGCCATTGCTAGCTAGCAGTACTGTAGCAACTAAATACAATATCCTTTTAGCCAGCTACATTCGTTCGCAGCGACGCCGTTTTTCAAACAAAGTCATCACCGCAGCCATTGCTAGCTAGCCAACGCTACCAGCACTGTAGCAACTAAATACAATATAATTTTAGCCAGCTACATTCGTTCGCAGCGACGCCGTTTTTCAAACAAAGTCAACACAGCAGCCATTGCTAGCTAGCCAACACTACCAGCTAGCAGTACTGTAGCAATTAAATACAATATCATTTTAGCCAGCTACACTCGTTCGCAGCGACGCCGTTTTTCAAACAAAGTCAACACCACAGCCATTGCTAGCTAGCCAACACTACCAGCTAGCAGTACTGTAGCAGCTAAATCCAATATAATTTTTGTCAATGAGAATTTTGCAACATAAAGCTTCCCTTTCTGAACATTCGAGATGTGTAGTCCACTTGTGTAGCTAGCATGACTGACTTTCTGCTAGCTAGCCAACGTTTAATTAGTGCTGCGTTATGAAAGGAACTGGACACGAATTATCTGTTTAGTGTGTTAACACACTATTGGTAGTTTGTTGTAACCAAGTATTGGTGCTAAACCGTGTGTTATTGGATGCTATCATGCTAGTTAGCTATGGCGTCATAGGATACGGTGCCCTGGGCGGTTTTCATGGAAGAATACTGTACCAAGTTAGCTAGCTGAATAAAGTAAGTTAGAGTCTATTCCTAGAAACATTGAACCGCTGTAGTTTACAACAATTCTAATTTCTAAAGTGGAAGTTGGGAGAGTTATATTCTGGTGTTTCAGTGAAACAATTATAGTTTCTGAGGTGGAAGTTGGGAGAGTTATATTTGGGAGTTGTGGTGAGGGAGGCCCCGCTCTCTCCTTTCCCAGATGTTTAGTTCATTTCATTCCGATCTCCTCTGCATTATTGTAGCCATTTGCTGCAGCCTGTCAACTATGCCTCTGCCTATCCCTGTTCTCTCCTCTCCGCACAGGCTACACAAACGCCTCACACCGCGTGGCTGCTGCCTCTCTAACCTGGTGGTCCCTGCACGCACCACACACCTGGAGTTCCAGGTCTCAGGCAGCCTCTGGAACTGCCGTTCTGCTGCCAACAAGGCAGACTTCATCCCAGCCTATGCTACCCTCCAGTCCCTCGACTTCTTGGCGCTGACGGAAACATGGATTACCACTGAAAACACTGCTACTCCTACTGCTCTCTCCTCGTCTGACCATGTGTTCTCGCATACCCCGAGAGCATCTGGTCAGCGGGGTGGTGGCACAGGAATCCTCATCTCTCCCAAGTGGACATTCTCAATTTTCCCCCTAACCCATCTGTCCATCTCCTCATTTGAATTCCATGCTGTCACAGTCACTAGCCCATTTAAGCTTAATATCCTTGTCATCTATCGCCCTCCAGGTTCCCTTGGAGAGTTCATCAATGAGCTTGACGCCTTCATAAGTTCCTTTCCTGAGGATGGCTCACCCCTCACAGTTTTGGGGGACTTCAACCTCCCTACGTCTTCATTTGACTCATTTCTCTCTGCCTCCTTCTTTCCACTCCTCTCCTCTTTTGACCTCACCCTCTCACCGTCCCCCCCTACTCACAAGGCAGGCAATACGCTTGACCTTATCTTTACTAGATGCTGTTCTTCTACTAATCTCACTGCAACTCCCCTCCATGTCTCCGACCACTACTTTGTATCCTTTTCTCTCTCGCTCTCCTCCAACACTACTCACTCTGCCCCTACACAGATGGTAATGCGCCGCCGCAACCTTCGCTCTCTCTCTCCCGCTACTCTCTCCTCTTCCTTCCTATCATCTCTTCCCTCTGCTCAATCCTTCTCCCTCCAATCTCCTGATTCTGCCTCCTCAACCCTCCTCTCCTCCCTTTCTGCATCCTTTGACTCTCTATGTCCCCTATCCTCCCGGCCGGCTCGATCCTCCCCTCCAGAGCTCCGGGCAGCTGAGCGGAAATGGAAGAAAACTAGACTCCCTGCGGACCTGGCATCTTTTCACTCCCTCCTCTCTACATTTTCTTCATCTGTTTCTGCTGCTAAGGCCACTTTCTACCACTCTAAATTCCAAGCATCTGCCTCTAACCCTAGGAAGCTCTTTGCCACATTCTCCTCCCTGCTGAATCCTCCCCCCCCCCCCCCCCCCCCCCCCCTCCTCCCTCTCTGTGGATGACTTCGTCAACCACTTTGAAAAGAAGGTTGACGACATCCGATCCTCGTTTGTTAAGTCAAATGACACTGCTGGTCCTGCTCACACTGCCCTACCCTATGCTTTGACTTCTTTCTCCCCTCTCTCTCCAGATAAAATCTTGCGACTTGTGACTGCAGGCCGCCCAACAACCTGCCCGCTTGACCCTATCCCCTCCTCTCTTCTCCAGACCATCTCCGGTGACCTTCTCCCCTACCTCACCTCGCTGATCAACTCATCCTTGACCGCTGGCTATGTCCCTTCCGTCTTCAAGAGAGCGAGAGTTGCACCCCATCTCAAAAAACCAACACTCGATCCCTCTGATGTCAACAACTACAGACCAGTATCCCTTCTTTCTTTTCTTTCCAAAACTATTGACGCCAGGACAGCGGAGTCACTCACCACCTTCCGGAGACATTTGAAACCCCACCTCTTTAAGGAATACCTGGGATAGGATAAAGTAATCAATCTACCCCTCCCCCCCCAACAAAAATAAATTATATATATATATATATTTGTAAAGTGGTTATCCCACTGGCTATAGGGTGAATGCACCAATTTGTAAGTCGCTCTGGATAAGAGCGTCTGCTAAATGACGTAAATGTAAATGTAGTTTCATGTTGTCACATCTGTAGTTTCATGTTGTCTCATGTAGTTTCATGTTGTCACGTGTAGTTTCATGTTGTCACATGTGTAGTTTCATGTTGTCACATGTAGTTTCATGTTGTCACATGTAGTTTCATGTTGTCACATGTAGTTTCATGTTGTCACATGTGTAGTTTCATGTTGTCACATGTAGTTTCATGTTGTCACATGTGTAGTTTCATGTTGTCACATGTGTAGTTTCATGTTGTCACATGTAGTTTCATGTTGTCACATGTGTAGTTTCATGTTGTCACATGTGTAGTTTCATGTTGTCACATGTGTAGTTTCATGTTGTCACATGTGTAATTTCATGTTGTCACATATGTAGTTTAATGTTGTCACATAAAATATAAAATAAATATGCCATATAGCAGACGCTTTTATCCAAAGCGACTTACAGTCATGCGTGCATACATTTTTGTGTATGGGTGGTCCCGGGGATCGAACCCACTACCTTGGCGTTACAAGCGCCGTGCTCTACCAGCTGAGCTACAGAGGACCACATGTAGTTTCATGTTGTCACATGTAGTTTCATGTTGTCACATTGTCACATGTAGTTTCATGTTGTCACATGTGTAGTTTCATGTTGTCACATGTAGTTTCATGTTGTCACATGTAGTTTCATGTTGTCACATGTGTAGTTTCATGTTGTCACATGTGTAGTTTCATGTTGTCACATGTAGTTTCATGTTGTCACATGTGTAGTTTCATGTTGTCACATGTGTAGTTTCATGTTGTCACATGTAGTTTCATGTTGTCACATGTAGTTTCATGTTGTCACATGTGTAGTTTCATGTTGTCACATGTGTAGTTTCATGTTGTCACATGTAGTTTAATGTTGTCACATGTAGTTTCATGTTGTCACATGTGTAGTTTCATGTTGCCACATGTAGTTTCATGTTGTCACGTGTAGTTTCATGTTATCACATGTTGCTTTACATGTTGTCACATGTTATCACATTGACTTCACACAAGATCACGTGAAATTCATGTGTTTATTCCGTAAGGGTAAACTAGAGAATTGAGTATGATGCAATGTGGACCATGGGAACAGGAAAGCTCATATCCGGAGAGGAGCTCTGTCTGATATTTGGGGTCAAGCTGAGGTTATACCTCTATAAACAACAATGCTGATGAGGGTGGAAGCTGTTGTACGTAAGGTTCTGAAGAATTCCATCACTGGACTAAGCTCTGAGCTCAGAAACGTCAATACAGCATGTTACGAGTGAGGCAAAAGTGAATGCTATAATAACTCTCTCCCTTGTTAAGAAGTCTATAACCATGTGTATGTAGTACTTCCACAAACATCATAGGTATTTGAATAGTTTGTAATGAACAAACTGTGTAACTAAGACATTGACAGTTTAGCTCCTGCAGCCCTCCCACTCAAACGCATTATGGATGACGGAGTGGGTGTTCCCCTCCTCATCCAATAATTAGATTACCCACTGGGCACACACTGGTTGAATCAATGTTGTTTCCACGTCATTTCAAAGGAATTACGTTGAACCAACATGGAACAGACATTGAATTGACGTTTATGCCCAGTGGGTAGACTTTAAGGCAACTCAGATCAATTCAAACCTGTCGTTGAACAAAGACATACATCATGGCCACATCAAACAGCCGGTGGTACCCACCTTGGTAATATAGGCCCTGATTCCCTGGGCCAATTTGATGCAGGGCTCCCCAAACAGTTGAACCAGAGACTCAGGTATCTCCTGGTCTTTCTCCAGGGCATTCAGAAGCCCCAGGCAGCGTAACTCCTCAGCCACCCCCTGGCTCCTCACCTGCACAGCACAACCCACACAGGACAGGGATGATTAAGTATCTTTGTCTGTATCTGTATTAGAGGACAAGGATGCAACTACTTTGTTTTGGGTTTCCCCCAAAAAAATATAGACCTAGTATCGCCATAACATCTTATCCATTAGTGTTTTGAAATGTCATTGTTCTATTTTCTAAGGATGAACTAACAGGCTTGATGGCGCAGACCAGAAAGAGTGTGCCGCTTTTCATAGATATTGACGTGTGCTGTGTTGTTAGTCACACTGCTGGAGTTGTACTTTTTCCAACATGATAACTGCAAATGGCAAACGTTTCCAGAAACTGGTTTTAATTTGTAGAAGTAAAGCAGTACAAGCTCAGTCCTGTCCATGATTTGGTCGCTCTGCTTGTGTGCAAGTGGAACAACACACCTTTCCCTGCCCCCATTGCCAACACCTTAACACAACTTTGCTGACTCTAAACTTGGCAGCTTTCGTGACTTTGTACAATACTTAATGCATTGCTAGTCAGGCCTTATGATAACGTTTGACATAGCATTGAGTTGCAGCGGACTACAAATCCCTTCCCTCTCAACAAGTATTTGCCTGGTGACTACCTGTTTCATAAACTTTCATTGTTACATCCAATGTGAGTGTTTTCTTCCCTGAGGAATGTGGTTCATTTGGGTTTGTTTCTTCGACCCCATGCTCATATTAGTGACTCACTGGCTCTTTGTTTGTGCTGCTAACAGGCTCTGTCATCATGGTAACAAACAATCCCCTGCCATGCTACAGAGAGAGGAGAATCTGTCCCCTGTAATCAGTACAGTGATTAGACCTGACAGCTCCAGACTACATTGATTATTACAGTCATATTCATCTCCATCCAGTTACAACGTCTTCAGTGTATGCTGATACTTTATGTAGACAGATTCCACTTTTAATCAGCAGGTATCATACAATCTAAATGGGAAAGTATACTCTCTGGATAAGTATGCTGCAAACTACAGTATAGTTCTGATTAGGAGGTGAAGAATAATGTAGCCTACTGTATGTGTACTTATTATCTGTAGCTAGAATACTGCTTTTTAGAGTATTTGTAAAAGGTTTTTATAGGGTAGTTCATATACTCTTAATTATTAGATAATATGTCATTTATAAATCAGTCGGCCAATAAAATGTTCTTCACTCACTGCCATGCATCACTCAAGAAGACTATATAGGCAACTTCATACTTCATAAATGTTTTTATGTATGTACTCTGAATGTGTTGGCATAACTTTCCTGACTACCAGAAGTTCTGGAGAACCAACTGTGAGCTGGAGAAAAAAACCATCAGAAGAGCCTAAACATACGTTTTCTGGTCGTCAGGCAAACATCAGCTGTTGGGTAAAAAAAAAAACACCTTACCTGAGCAACTGACATGTTCAAGAAGACGAGGAGTCCAGTTGTTGAAGCTACTTGCAGTACTACCACGACAATAACGATAATTGGGACCCATAACTTTGACGGCAAGTCCCGTCGGCTGTTTGATGCGGCCATGATGTCTCTTTGTTCAACGACAGGTCTAAATTGATCTCGTGTTGCCATAAAATACAATTGGTGGATGAGGAGGGGAACCCCCCACACAGTCATCCATAACAACGTCAATATTTTCTCTATTGAGTGGGAGGGCTGCAGGGAATAAACTATCCAAATTCAACAACGCCCCCGTGTCATTGGTGCCGCACACAGAGGCGCGCTTTTTTTTCCTGAGCGTTTTTCAACTAATCTCCCGTGGGCAGATTCTGTAGCCTATTGCCTGCTACAAGTATTCGGTTTTTAAACTTAAACAGTCAAACTCACTATTTTAGTTGGCTCTAATGCTATATGTTTGGATCTGCTTTTTGCAAATAGATAGGCTAAGTTTGACATGGTTGGTTTATTGATCCTTGTTTTGTGTTAATCTAAAATGAAGCCTGTTTTTGTGAGCCTACTGTTCAGTAGGTTATTGATATTTAGCTTTATTTGTAACACTCAAAGGCTCATATTCCCTCATTATGCATCTGAGGCTCAGATAGAGTGAGAATAATACATTTTGTCTGGCCACAAGCCAAACTGGCAGCCCCCAGTTTCCTGATGCCCTCAATGGTCCAGTAGACTCTTGCTGCAGACCTCATCTCTCAGGCTCCTCTCTTTAATGCCACCTACTGGAGACCTCATCTCTCAGGCCTGCCTGTGAACAACTGCCCAGGAAAAGCGAACGCCCTCTTTCAATTGGCTCCTGGATGCTTATCATTCTATTGGCTCCTGACTACTTCTTTGTTCTAGGGGATAGCAGTAGCAGACATTTTTTAACTTCATTTTGTTTTGCCTACCTGAATAGAAATAGCCTGCTGTTTCTGCTTTATATGCTTTTTTATGTATTTTAGTTCATGGAATGCTGCTCGTGTCGCTATCCCAATTTGTTTAATTTACTTGTTTATTTCATTCCATTTGGGAGACAATGAATTTAACCATATTTTGCATTATTGAAATATTATGAATTATGTTGGATGATGACAAGAATCCTGTCTGACTTGTAGAGAGTTCAGTCCTATGGCAATCTTGGAAGATGAAGATGGGTTCTAGTTTACTCCTGCCGGAATTCTATCTTTGAACTAAGCCTACCTTTCTCAAGACAGTAGGTTCTATGTAAACATTTCTGACTGACTGACGAAAGAAGCTCTCCTCTCGTGCACACGACATGTTCTGGTCGTAGAGGCTGGTGCGTAGCCTAGTTCGGAAATATGAAAAGGCTGACAGCTCCCCTCACCCAGTTCACATTGGACATAGACTGCTCAGATTTTATCACAGTGCTTCCATAGGCCTACCTCTGCGGTGTTTTAACCTGTTACAAGCAGTGGCTCAATTAAACTCAACCAGGGTGTTTCTCCAAGACTAACGCTCCGATGCAGGTTTCGGTGGCGCATTAGCAAGCGCAAAGAGTGAGTATTCAGCCCTGTTTCCCAGCACAGCCCACGGTCTGTCCAAGGAAGAAGCGGAGTCTGTTTGGCTATGAGTTAGAGGATGAGCCTGTGACCCTTAAATCAGATTCTTGATTCTGCTATCCAGTCCATCAACGAGCGTTTTACGCAGCTTGAGGAGCACAGCAGTGTTTTCAGCATCCTGTACAACATCCCCACCAACAAGGACATGGACATTACGGCTCTTACCAGGGACTGCACAAAGCTGGAAAGGGCCCTTACGCACAGGGATTCCAAGGAAATCAGCAAAAAAATAGTTATACGATGAGCTCAAAGCCTTGAGCAGGAGACTGGGCAGTGAGGTAAAACCAATCGACGCATTGGAGCACATATCCAGACACCAAATTGCCTCCTTGTTCCCCAATGCCTTTCTTGTCCTGAGAGTTCGCCTCACATTCCCGTGACAGTGGCAAGTGGAGAGCGCCCCTTCTCCAAGCTCAAACTCACTGCCTGCGCTCTACTACACTCTAAAAAGGTTCCTGGAGTAACCTTTAGGGGTTCTTCAAACTGAAACTGTGGGGGAACCCCTATAGGTTATTCGAAGAACCCTTTAAAAGGGTTCTTCAAAGAACCCCTTTTAAGAACCCCTTTTAATGGTTCCTCAAATAACCTTTTGGGGTACATTTTTGAACTACCCCCCCATTATTATTATTATTTATAATAATAATATGCATAACAATAACACAATATTTTAGTTGTTAATGTTTATTATGATTTTAGTGGCAAAGCAGAATAAAAAAAAATCTAAATATGAGGTAAACTCCCAGCAGAGCCCCAAGTGTAATGAGTATATCCTCTGGTGTGTTGATGTTAGTGTTGATGTTCGCCGTATCCATAGCCAGAATGATTTTGCAGTGCATGGTGATCGAATAGGTGAAGTCTGTGAATCCCAAAAATAGTAATTATACAGAAGATTAACAAAACATGCACACAACAGTATTCATACCTTGGTTTTTGTGGAATACCTGTTATTTTAACAGCCACTGGTCATTGAATAACAGGGTAGGCCTACAAATGAATAAGTAGGCCACTGTGTTAGAATATGTCTACAATTAATCAAGAAAATAAATCTTACATTCATAAAAGTAGGCCTAGGTGTTGCAAAAGGTGTTGTCTGGGGTTTCAACGGAAAGTAGACACGGAGTCCAATCCAGCTTGACGTTCTAAATAAATCCAGCTTGATGTTCTGAATAAATCCAGCTTGATGTTCTGAATAAATCCAGCATTAATGTGTATTCACTTAATGCGCATATTCAAGTGAACATTCACCTTTGTTATTTTAAGTTTTTGACGAGGCAAGGACTTGGATACCAGGTAATGGCTAAACTGCTGAAATCTTAACTATTTGTATAGGACACTTGTCACCATCTTTTAGGCAAGAAAATAAGCCCCCCCCCCCCCCCCCCCCCCTAAAAAAATAGATATGGTAGGTAGGCCTTCAGTATCACAGTGTTGATAAAGAAAAACCAAATATCATACCCTCCAAAAAATGCTAACCTCCCCCGTTATTGTAATGGTGAGAGGTTAGCATGTCTTGGGGGTGTATGATATTTGTGTGTCATTAACTTTCTCACTCACCATTATTCACGATTAATTCTGAATTATCCATAATTATGATAGCATCCACATTTATGTAGACGTGTTTAGAAACATATTCTATTCTTATTTACAATAAAAGTGACTCCAAAATGACACAATACATTATTTACCATTAATTTGTATAAGGCACAAAAAAATCTGAAACACAACCAAAACAAACAGCAAATGCATCCAACAGATGTGTAGAGTCACAAACTTCAGTGCCTTCAGAACGTATTCACACCCCTTTACTTTTTCCACATTTTGTTGTGTACAGTCTGAATTTGAGATTTTGTGTCATTGGCCTAGAGGAAAACCTGGTTCAGACTGCTTTCCACCAGACACTGGGAGATGAATTCACCTTTCAGCAGGACAATAACCTAAAACACAAGGCCAAATCTACACTGGAGTTGCTTACCAAGAAGACAGTGAATGTTCCTGAGTGGTGGAGTTACATTTTTGACTTAAATCTACTTGAAAATCTATGGCAAGAACTGAAAATTTTATTCAGCAATGATCAACAACCAATTTGACAGATCTTGAAGAATTTTGAAACTAATAATGGGCAAATGTTGCACAATCCTGGTGTGGAGTTCTTAAAGACTTACCCAGAAAGCTGTAATCGCTGCCAAAGGTGCTTCTACAAAGTATTGACTCAGAGGTGTGAATACTTATGTAAATTAGATATTTCTGTATTTCATTTTCAATAAATGTGCTAACATTTCTTAAAACATGTTTTCACTTTTTCATTATGGGGTATTGTGCGTAGATGGGTGAGAAAAATAATCTATTTAATCCATTTTGAATTTAGGCTGTTAACACAACAGAATGTGGAAAAAGTCAAGGGGTATGAATACATTCTGAAGGCACTGTGTGTATATACAGTATATATACTGTATATTCCAGACTCTAAAATTGCTCTTTCTTATATTGCTCATTCTGATATATTTGAGATATTACTGCACTGTTGGAGCTAGAAACATAAGCATTTCACTGCACCTGCGATAACATCTGCAAATCTGTGTAAGAGACCAATAAACTTTGATTTGATTTACACTCACACAAGCAGAGCCGAGAAGGCACACAGGCCCTCTCTCCCTGTCAACTAATTCAACATAGGTCACACTGACCCAGACTCACGCTTAAGCACAATAACAGGATACATTTCCATTCACAATCATAACAGTAGACCCTTGCATGGTAAAACAGTTTCCCACAGCAGCCTCAGGAGTGTGTTATTGAAAATAGGACTGTCCATCCATGGAGTGAGGCCATCTCCCAGGTCCTAGCTGAAACATTTGAAGAAGAGAGAGATGGGGGGGGGGGGGGGGGGGGAGACGGACAAAGAGAGAGAGAGACCGAGAGAGAGAGAGAGAAAGAGAGAGAGAGAGAGAGAGAGAGACACACATACACATAAGAAAATGGGTGGTTGGAGTTGCAAAGAAAGAGCAGCCAGAGACGGTATATAGGGTTGTGCAGTCAGTGTCAGACTGAAATCCCACTCACTTCCCCAGCCTCTCTGGCTTGATTAGGATGTTGAAGTAGGACTTTTTCAGCTGCTCTGCGAACATGGTGAACACACCGGGCTCGGCAGTGAAGCAACTAACACAGACAGAGAGGGGGGTTGAGTTGGCAGGTCATCAGCTTTAGGGTAGTGTGGAGTTAGGGTAGAGTTGTTGGAATGCAGAATGGGTTTATATACTGTAGACTGGGGTTGTATGAATGGGCAGAATGAACGCAGAAGAGCTGTATGTAAGTGTGTACAATGTGTATGTGCGTGTACATACTGTAAGTGAATGTATGCGTGTGTGTGAGAGACTCACAGGCAGTTGGTGGTTGAAGCCATTACAATACACACTTTCTGTTATCCTAGTTGTAGCCAAGCAGCTAGCTAACACAGCTAACATTACGTTAGCTAGATAACTAGCTAACGTTAGCTAGCCAACTCTTAGTACAAGTTAGATAGAGAGTTCGAAACACTGAGTGGGGAGGAGAAAACTGAAAACTAGCTGTTATTGGCAGA